AGCACAGCAGCATAGCCTCGTCCCCAAGTGATCAGAGGGACCGGTCCCAGCCATGCTTTGTCTGGTAAAGCCCGATAATATACCAGAGGGGGAGGCAAGCTTGTTTTCTGTTGAAAGTGTCTCTGATAAGCAGTTGAATTTTGAATGGAAACATTCAATTGGTTTCATGTAAATAATACTTTTTTAACCTGTTGTGTTACCCACGACAAATTGGGTACCCAAGAGCTCTCCTTTTTTATTTGTTTGTGGAGGCAGTCCTTAAAGGACCAATTAGCACATTCCACGATGGCTTGACCCGTGGAATTATAGGGGAGACCATGAGTAAGAACAATATTCCAGGTTGTACAAAATTGCAAAAAGGCCACTGAAGAATAGGCTGGCCCGTTATCAGTTTTTAAAGTAGAGGGCTTACCCAAGGCTGTAATGGCCGAAAAAAGATGAGAAATAACACGTTGAGCTGTTTCCCCTCTTTGAGGCATGGCCCAAATTGCTCCTGAGTAGGTATCAGTAGATAAATGAATATATTTCCAGGGAGCCAAAGAGGGAACATGGGTAACATCCATTTGCCATAGTTGATTAGAGGTAAACCCACGGGGATTAACTCCCGTGTCCCCTGAAGGAGATGCCCCAGAACATTGGGGACAGGATGAAACAATCTGCTTGGCTTGGTCGAGTGGAATATGACAAGCTTGTGCCAACCCCCTAGCGTTTTGATGAAAAAAGAGTGACTGAAAAAAGGGTCTGAAAATAGAGTGGGGGAAACATGAACAGCAGCATCAGCATGACTATTGCCTTCAGAAAGAGGGCCAGGAAGGGATGAGTGACTGAGTATATGAGAAACAAAGTATAAATGCTTCCGATCTTGTAGCAGCTGCTGCAAAGTTAAAAACAAAGCCATGAGATTGGGGTCAATCCTGGGCATGATATAAGCACCTGGAAGATTAAAAATAAGTTGACACACATAATGAGAATCAGAGATTAAATTAAAAGGCTGTTGAGAAAAGGTGTGGAAAGCTAGAATAGCAGCAGATAATTCTGAGCGTTGCAGCAGTGTAGGACACCTTCCAGGTATCATCATGAGGATCCTTGTAAGCAATCGCTCCTCTCGTTCGCCCTCCATCGGAAAAAACAGTAGGAGCTTGCGGCAATGGAGAAGGAGAAAGCAGTGGGCGGACAGGAAAGGAAGAAGTCATTAAATAAGTAAGGCGAGGATCTTTAGGCAAATGATATGAAATACAGCCTATATAATCAGTTAAAGAGCACTGAAAAGATAAGTTATTCTGAAAATAAAATTGAAAATCAGATTTTGGGATAGGAAGAACAATATTAATTAAATCAGTCCCATTTCGACGGCAAGCTCGAGTGCGTCCTAAGGTTATTATTTCAGCAACAGCCTGGATAAATGGCAAAACATTTTGGGATGGGGTATGGGGTAAATAAAGTCATTCAATACAATATACTTTTTGCGCTTCTAACACAGCTAATACTCCTGTAGGTAGCTTACTAGTAGGAAATATCAAAAGGGTTAACTGACAATTTTTATGTGGAATTCGGTCCACAAATTGAGTACTCAAGATGTCATTAATTTGTTCAACTGTGGCAAATGCTGCAGGTGGAACTATAATGAGATCTCCAGGTTGTTTTCCTTTGGTCAATAAGTCAAATAATGGACTAAGCAGATGTGTAGGTAAAGAAAAATTTGGGTGAACCCAATTGAGGGTGCTCAGAAATTGCTGCAAATTGACCAATGAAATAACTTTGGGTAAGCTCAAGCGAGGAAAAGCTGGAGCAGAATAAGATTGCAACATTTTATGCCCTAAATAAAGATAGGGAGAGTGCAGCTGTATTTTTTCCGGGGCAACCTGCAATCCATAGATACCTAAATCATTGTATTTCGGAAAGCCAATTAGGTTGTATCTTTGGTGCTCCAATTAAAATATAATCCATATAATGATATACCAAAGCCAATGGATGATGTTTGCGAAAAGGGGCTAATGCTGCAGCGACATGAAGCTGACATAGTGTGGGACTGTTCAGCATTCCCTGTGGTAAAACTGTCCAGTGATAACGTTTATTAGGTTCTGAATGATTCACTGCAGGCACAGTAAACGCAAACTTTTCCTGATCAGGGGGGCATAGAGGAATAGAGAAAAAACAATCCTTTAAGTCAATTACCATTACTTCATGATCTTGAGGAATCAAATTAGGGTTAGGCGTTGCGCACTGCAAAGGGCCCATAGGTTGAATACAGGCATTAACGGCCCTAAGGTCGTGCAAGAAGCGCCACCTTCCACTTTTCTTTTTTATGACAAAAACAGGGGTATTCCATGGACTAGTGGAAGGCACAACATGACCAGCAAGCAGCTGATCGTTAACCAGCTGGTGGAGAGCCGTCAATTTTTCATGTGACATGGGCCATTGATCAATCCACACCGGCTCTTTAACCAGCCAAGTCGATGGGAGGGCAGTAATCTCAGTCTTCCAAAGTGAGGGTGGCACCCAATTTACTGAGTAGGTCACGTCCCCAAAGGCTGACATGAATATCTAATATAAAGGGGCGGACCTGAATGACCAAATCTGAATCAGGCAAATGGGCTGAAAGAAATTGCGCACTTTGACGTGCACTTTGACGACCCCCCACACCCCACACTTGGACAGGGCTCGGTTGGCCAGGTGGCAGGCCACTGCTTGGCAGAGATCACTGAAACATTGCTCCAGTGTCCAAAATTCCCTCAAATGGCTTACCCTGCAGCACAATGATCTGATGGGGCCGTTGAAATGTGATCGGGGTAGTGATGGCAGCTATAACCGAAGTGGCTGGGTTAGTAGAACCGAAGCCTCCTTCCCCTCTCTCCTTTAACTCTCCCCCTGCCGGGACAAAATAAGGCAAATGCAAGAGCTGAGCAGGGCTAGTGTAAATGGGCAAAATTTGAGGCAAGTTGGTCCACAATTGAACATAAATAATTCCGGTATAGTCTGAATCTATCACCCCGGGATAACAAAAATGCCTTTTTTACCCATGCTTGACCGCGCAAGCACAAGCCCTACATAATTTTGTGGTAGGGGGCCTGATAATTGAGATGGAACTACTTGAACCTCCCCAGGAAATTTAAATTTCACTTCCTCCTGCAGTATCAAATCAATACCAGCACTACCTTTTGTAGCTGCAGGAGTATTTTTTATTGTTGGTCTGTTGTCTCTGTTTGGACTGGGGCCAGAGACCGGCCTGGTCGGCCGTTTCCCGACCAACATTCACTTGCCCAATGATAAACCTTCTGACACTTTGGGCATTTTGTTTTTGGCTTCGATCCCAGATGAAAAGAGGAGCAATGGAAAGAGGAGTGAGATGCTGCAGACATACCCCCCCCCCCGGATTTCTACATTCCCTTTTAAAATGACCGGGTTTGCCACAGTTGTAACACTTTCCTTGAGGCTTGCTGCCTTGTGATAAAGCAGCTGCCAATAAATTGGTTTGATAAGAGGCAGTTCCTATATCTTGACACGCTCTAATCATATCTGCCAATTCAGGATCTTTTCCCAAACCGATAATTGCCCTTCGACATTCAGAAGTGGCGTTGTCTTTTGCCAGCCTCATCAACAATTCCTGCTGAGCTTCAGGATTGTCTATCTGCCTCCATAAGGCATCCTGTAGTCTATTAATAAAATCAGGATACGGCTCAGTAGCCTTCTGCCTGATATTAGAGAAGGCTTGATGAGGCTTGCCAGAAACAGGCACTTTTCCGAAGGCTCGATAAGCACATTCAGAAGAAACCTGTAAAGTGGCAGCCGGTAGAACAACCTGGGCATCAACTGGGGCAAAGGGACCAGAACCATACAATTGATCAGGAATAAAGACACCCCCCCCCCCCGAGTTAAGAGCACGCATAGCACATTGGTGTTTAAATGCGCTGTCCCAAACTACATATTGCGCTGGAGTAAGCAACATGTGAAAGGTAGTTTTCCAATCTTCAGGCACTAAGATACGATTTCTCATAGTGGCTTCCAGCATTCCCTGCACATAGGTACTTCCCAGCCCCATATCTTGAATTCCTTTTCTCAGTTCTGTTAAAATTGCATATGACAAAGGGCGATATTCCACTATTTGAGCTCCATTCTGATTTACTTGTCCCATGGCGTGTACTGGACAAACAGAAAGCATATCAGCAATTTCTTCTATATTTCCCCCCCCCCTTTTTCTAATTGTTCCTCTAATATTTTCCTTATGGGGGTGTACGATGGCCATAAGGAGGCAAAAGAATTAGCCTCTTCAGAAGGAGCTGAAGATCCAATTGGAGATGCTTTTGGGGAAACACGTTTTACTTAATCATAATCAGGCGGCGGGCTTTTAGTCAATTGTTGCCCTGCCGAAGCATCAGAGCCTCTATGCTATTCCCTAAAGCAATTAGTTGCATTTTGGATTTCTACACAAACCTAAAAAAAATATGCTGCTACCTTAATGAGCTGACTCATTACAGTTAATGCTAATCTTAAAGCAACTACATCTTTTTTCCTAGCCTGGCACAGAAATCTGAAAAAAATGGTCTGCTTTAATGAACAGCAGTGAGGTATTGTGCTTGTGCAAGATCTGAAGCCCCTTCTCTGAATGCACTGCTTTATTGTGTATATGCTTTGATTACATCCCAGTGCAACCAAATGCATTTTAAATTTTGCATCGTGCCTAGAGAAAGACTGTACGGAATATCATATGACAGATGATACATAAATATTTTAAACATATAAAATAACCTGGAGCCACCTTGAACCAGAATCATACCCAATGAAAATAAAATTATACATTTGCAGATATGCAATGTGGTTCAAAACACTGATTGCACACGTTTTTTGGTGGGGGAGCAGAAGCGGCTGATAAACCCTTGTGCTGATGTTCTGTTGCCAGATGTGTTGTAACATTCCTCGCTTGACAGACTTGGCTGTCACCAGATGGTTCAAGCACGGCTGGGCAACTTTGAATGTGACCATTCCTCCCTCTTTCTCCTCAGGGTCCAACAGCAGCTTTTGGTTGAGCTGCTGGAGTGTGAGCGGGAGTATGTGGGTGCCCTTACCCAGCCCCTCTCTCTGTCTCAGGAGCCCAGGGGACAGGCCTGGACAGCTGAGTTAAGATGCCTGGGCAGTGCCCTCCGGACCACGCGGGACCGGCTGCTGGCCTTCCATTCCAACTGCCTCCTGAGCGAGTTGGAGGGGTGCATGAACCACCTGTCACGCGCTGGCAGCTGCTTCCTGTGCCACGTGAGTGCTTCCTTTCCTCAGCTGCTACTCCACCTGCTGCATGCTGGGACCCATTTCCTGTGTCAGAATTCCACCCCTTTCTTTCCTTCCTTTCTCACCCATCCACTGACAGAGCTTCCTCAACCACGTGACCATCTCTTGGTTCTGAAAGGCTTTTTTAAAAAAATGTTCTGGCATATGTGAAGAAGCAGTGAAGCAGAGATTTCCTCTGAGCATATAGAGTTGCCTTTTGCTCCACCCCTATAACTAAAGAGTCTCTTGATGTGATACCAGGGTTTTAGGGAAGAGAGCATAGCTTCCCAATAGCTTTTGTGTATAGGCCCATTCTTTTAAAAATCAACAATATTTATTTGTTAATTGATATCCCCCCTTTGTATAAGAGCTGAAAATGGGGGGCATAGCATTGCCTCCTCCTATTTTTCCCACAACTGGTGGTAGATTGGACTGAGGAGAGTGATTCATCCAGAGTCACCCAATGAACTTTGGTAGCTCAGGGTGCATTTGGTGCCAGCCCAGTGAATCACCCTGGCTTTCAAAATGCCCATACATAAGTCTTTAATCAGGTAAAATCTCCTTTGAGTAGAGCATGACTCCCAGCAGTCCTCGACTTACAACAATTCATTTAGTGACCATTCAAAGTTACAATGGCACTAAAAAAGTGACTTATGACCGTTTTTCACATGACCATTGTAACATCCCCATAGTCACATGATAAAAATTCAGATGCTTGGCAACTGATTCATATTTATGATGGTTGCAGTATGTGATCATTTTTCATGACTTTCTGACAAGCAAAATCAATGGGGAAGCCAGATTCACTTAACAACAACAACTTAACAACTGCAGTGTTCACTTAACAGCTGTGACAGGAAAGATTGTAAAATGGGGCAAAACTCACTTAACAACTTTCTTGCTTAGCAACAGAGGTTTTGGGCTCAGTTGTGGTCTTAAATTGGGACTACCTGTACGTAAGTGGTTTGCCGATATCACAACTTTGACTGTCATTGCTCTCTCAACTTCTAGTCTTCTTTCTCTCTCTTTTTTTCTCTTCCGTCTTTAACCTTTGATAAGGCTATCGGATCTGGGCTGCAAAGCTCCAGACAACCACTAAATGGTTGTAAAGAAGTACAGAAGACTCTTTCCTTGCTGCCATGTAGTGGCCATCTTAATTTTTGCATTCAAGATATAGTACATCCAACCTTTGTTTGCTTTCTGTATCCAGAGAGAGCTGCTAGGATAAATTATCTCTAACTAGTAAAAGTAAACAACCTGTCTTTAATATAGCAGCAGGATAGCTAGCTACTGTTCCTGGAGATATATCAGTCTGGTTCACAGCAAATGCAGGGCTGTCCATCTTTAAAAAGCTAGGTAAAAGCTCCCCTTTTTAAAAAGCTTGGGGTTCTTTATCTTCATTTTTTAAAGACTATGCAGAAAGCACAGTAATGGCCAAACTGCCTTTCCTTCTGGTCAGTTGTTTGGAAAAGTCTCTTTTGATCCAGAGCTCTGCCCTTCTGTTTTGTCAGAATTATACTTTGCCTTAATTCTTGAGTTCTCCATGTTCTTTGTTTACCTGCTTTACTACAAGAAACCTTCACCTATATGCCTGCTACAAAGTTTTTGCTTCTCTCCATTAATAAAAAAGACCTCTTTTTTTCAAAGAGCCTATCACCTTATTAAAATGTTATGTTTTCTCCTGCTTCTTTAAAAGTCTGATAATACAAATTATCAGGACAAGCTTTGCTTAGCATGGAAATAAATTGATAAGGAATGTTAATTCCATAATTAATGCATGGAATTCAAAAGCAGCAAGGCTGAAAGAAAGAGATGGAAGTTCTTCTTTTGAGCTTGCCTTGTCCCGTTAAAAAGAATGGAGGGAGTAAGGGCAAAAATGAGCATAACTTGCCCATAGGCTAGAGAGAAGATTTTGCTCTGTTCCAATAGTCAGTTTTCCTGGAATTTACCTGACTGTTACTCCACTGATGAGAGTTTTTTTTCTCTTTCCCACTTCAGAAAGAAGAGCTTCAATTGTATGCAACCTATGCCAAAGATCATGACAAGTTCCAGGCTGCCCTGGCTTTGCTTCGAAGCACTGGCAAGGTAAATGAGTTGCGGCCACGTGGCAGACAGAGATGGAATTTCCCTTTTGATCTTGAAAGGCCGGATGAATCAACTGCTAAAGAAAACAGCTTCTGTTCATAAGAGGCCCTTTTTACTCATTAGATTAGGTGTCCCTGAGATTGGCATAGTTATAGTTGCATTGAGAGTTTGATCATGTACAGCCTGCTGGCCATCCCAAAAAAAGCTCAACTTTGGAATATTTGTGTAGTTTCATTCATTGTAGAGATGTGGATTATGGGATATCCAGGAAATGGTGATGTAACAGGTAACATCAGTTGTTTCATTCTAGCCTTCTGTCTTTATCCTCTCCTTCCTGCAGAAAGGTCTGATGGAGCCACGTGAGGATGGACAAATAGCATACACTTTGCAGGTGCCTCTAGAGCAACTGGAGCGGTATCGGCGCTTCCTGGGTGAGCTGCTACATGAATGTGAGCTCGAGCAGGGGCCTGACCGCCAAGCCCTACAGGAGGCCCAGCAACTGCTGGAGGCACAGGAGCAGCGAGGCAGAGACTTGTTGGCCACAGAGCAGATCCGGGGCTGCGAGGTGAGCGCATGGGCGCTCCCATCGTATGGTGCTGCATCTTTCCTGCTGCTTACTGTGCATGTGCTGTTTCCTCCCATGCCACTTGTCTAAACCCCAGTTTAATCTTTTCTGACCTTGCAAAGTTCTGTGCTGTTGCCAAACTCTGATCTTTTTGAACTGTGCAAAGCTCTGAATACTTAACAGCAAACACAAAAATACTGGTGGGCAAATCGACAGTCTCCCACTCTTCTGAGAACTGGAGGGAAAGGCAACCTTAGTTTCATGTGTGTTCCTGCTCCTTTGCAGATGAAACTGTCAGAACAAGGGCCATTGCTTCAGTGTAGTGAACTCATTCTGTTGTCTGGACGCCGTAAATGCCAGCGACATGTTTTCCTATTTGAGCAGCTGCTACTCTTTACCAAATGTAAAGGAGCTGAGGGTAGCTATGTCTGCAAACAGGCCTTGCAGGTAGGTAAAGTGATTATCCTGAATAATATTTTCCCAGGCTTTAGGGGCTAGAAGTATAATTTGGGGCTATTTTAATCCGTACTGATGAAATTATTGTCTGAAATGAGATTGCTTTAGTTATCCGTTCAATAAATAAACATGATCGTCAGACTTGCACATGACAAATGGCTGAAATCCACTGCAAATGCAGTGTGGAAAAAAGGATTGGGAAGAAAAATAAAATGTGGGGAAGAGGAAGGGACTGATTATCTCACCAATAACTCAGCTGACATCAGGGAATAAAATTAGAATTCTTGGTGAAAAATCTTTCCAACCAAAAAGGCCTCTCTTCTCCTGGATCACCTATCTCTCAGCTTTGCATGTAAACTTACTTCCTATTGCAGATGGTGCAACAATATTTACTCAAGACACCTTGTTCATATGTTGCAGTGAGCAATGGGTTTAATAATGATTTACTGCATAAGTTATAACTGATTGAGGCTGCAGAACAGTTAAGTGAAAATCAAATTACATTGCAGCTGATTATGAAGCGTGAACAGTGCCACAGTTTCTATTGTTTCCTCTCTCTTCATACAGACTGCTTCCATGGGGTTGACAGAGAGTGTGGGTTCTACTGGGTTACGTTTTGAGCTTTGGTTCGGAAGGGGACCAGCCCGGCAGGCCTATACATTGCAAGCAGCTTCCGCTGAAGTCAAGCATCAGTGGACAAATATTATAGCCCAACTGCTCTGGAGACAAGGTATGAGCATGCCTAAGCAAGGATGGTCAGCTCAATAGGGGAATGTTTTGATTGAGGGAGGGTTGGGAGTTCTTAAAATGTTTTATTTATTCTTTTCTTGAAAGAAAAGAGAGAAAAGTTGCATAAAATCTATGTCAAAGATTAACATTAATTTTATTTTGAAAAAGAAAGACAATCAGTGTAGTTTTTTAGTGTCATTATCCCCATAAGTTTAAAGAACTAGATCTGTCAGACAAAGCAAATGCTACTTTGTGTGATCCAGGGAGTTCAAAACAAAAGTATAGTTTTGATTATGTCATTTGATTACCAGCATCATCATGACCAGGGTTTCTAGTTAAGCCTAATCTTGGTACATTCCCATTGGTGTTTTTTTGGGGGGTGGGAAGGGGGTTGTATGTGTGTGGATGAGGCCTTGCATTTCAGGCAGTTGGCTGCTTAAGAACTGATAAGAAAAAAGGCAGTAATGAGCAGACTGGAACCGACAATGCAGTGATGCATTAACTCTAAGTAAATGTAGCCTTATTACCTTTACTATACACAAAAGAACTGTAGGGAAGAGAGGAAATAGATTTGCAAACAGTGAAAACTGGTAGATCAATCTCAGAACCTTTTTATCTGCAATCAGAAAGCCAAGAGTGGACCAAAATAATCTCCCCCACCTTGTTTGGCCCACGAGTTTTAAGATGGAGAAAGGCCACAAAAATGTGGTTGAAATATTATCTGTTAGTGAGATGGGAACAAACTGTAGAGGGAGAGGTGTTCTCAGGGACAGGGGTATGAATCAAAACGCCTTGGATGTTTGTCTCTTTTTTTTCCTCCTCACTTCTCTTCAGCTGCCCAGCCAAGTGTCTCAATGAGCTTGTCCTCCTGCCCTTCTCAGCGCTTAGCTCCTCTGGGCCTTGGCCCTGGTCCCCCTCCTGGCTTGTCACTCCCTGACCACTTTGAGGAAGAGGAATGGGACTTAGATGTCAAGCCCATCCCGAGAGGTAGCATCACTGTTCTTCTATCAACCCTCTCAAGAGACTAGTAGTTGCTTCTGCTGGTGCTTAACTGTGTTCTGTGTTCCTCTTAGCTCACACCTCTGGGTCAGAGGGAGCCTCCCCAAGCCACCATGAACCACTTAGGCAGGGGAGAAGTTCACTGCCTGGCAGCAGCTCTGCTTTAGGACACCATCAGTCGGTGAGTTTATTCAGTGTTTAAATGTTTTTTGGTGATAAGAGTTTGTAATTGAGTTCTTTTATTAATCTCATGATAATGCCTTTTCTTGACTGTATTATTTCAGGTTTTATGTGAGGAAAGGGAAATTGTGCTGGATGGGTGTTCTACTTGGATTATCTTTGTTTCAAAGACACACAGAGGGCAGGTCTCAACCCTGATATTTCATTATTATAATCAACATCTCTTAGAAGTGACACCCCTCACTCCTTGGGGAGAAGTGCCTGCAACCTGAAATGCTGTGAATCGGGGAAGTTGTTAGCAGTTGAATCTGTTGATTATAGGGATCATTACTAAGGATATGAGCTGCCCTGAGTGGAAGAGTGCCCCAAGACTTTTTACTTACCACTGCCAATTCTGTCCTTTAACAAAGTTATGAAAGACCATCTTTCAGTTGCTGGTAACCTTGTGGGTGTTTGAACAGTTATGTGCTTTTTGTGCCAAATAGTATGATTCAGCTATTCTACCCTTCCTCTCCAGGGTTCACTAGGCCATCCCTGATGGCTTCTGTTTTTTTCTTTATTTGCCAGAGCTTTGGCATTGCCGGTGAACCAGTGACCCCACTCTGAGATTGGGGCGGCCAGGTACAGCCCCCCCACCAAACTTTTCTGCCTTTGTGCAACTTCCCACTCCGTTCATGTATCTGCTCCCTGCCATCCCCATTTACGTAAGCTGCAGCACATAATATTCCCAAGAGCCTTTCTTTCAGTCTATATTACAGGGATACTTCAGGATGTCTGCTTCATCCCTGTTAAATGAGTGATTCTGTGTCCAGGTGCTCTTCCTTTTGTGTTCCACCGTCCTATAGCTTCTCTGTCCTCTGTGCCACTGCCATGCAGTTGTCTTTATATTACTACTGCTATTTAAAATTCCTCTAATATCTATACAGCTGGCTAACATAATGGCTAACAGTGTGAGCTGAGTTTTCTAGTCCTCCGTCTGGATAATGAAATAATATCAACCAATCTTGCACAGTTGTTGTAACATACTGAACAACTTGATGCCTTCCAATATTGTAGACTGTGAGTTTCATCATCTCTTACCATGGGCCATGCTGATTGGAGTTGATGAGAGTAGAAATGAAACATATCTGCAGGACATCAAGTTAGAAAGCAACCAAGCTGAAATGCTATGGATACTAAAAAAAATGTGCTATAAAATGTTGCTTTCTAATTGCATGTTGGTCAGTGCTATGTACTATTTAATGCATAATGGTATTAAGATTTAAACCTCAAATTTATTTTCATAAGGTCAGGATGGATTTTAAAGATTCAAATATAAAGTAGAGATATGTGGATTGAATAATTGAGAGGGAAGGTATTCAACAGACATATTTAAAATTGTTGATGACTTTCTAGAGTCTGATTTGCTTTTGTTTCTTTTTAGCGTTGGGTATGGAGCCTGCATCGGAAACTCCTTTCTCCAGGAAGCCATGGACGGCAAGATTCAGTTCCTAGGGACTCTGGGAACAGGACAGTTTGAGATCCTTGCAGGAACTTGGGGATTGGATGGTCATATTCAACAATATTGTGACTTGCTCCCACCCATTTCCTGATGGCTCTGCTACCACTCCACAGAAGCATCTGAATCGGTCATATCCTACTGTGGGATGTCCATGTCCTGCCTGATTACTACTCATTGAGTGCCTTTTCTGCCATTTTCTTGGATTGTGAATTTCCTGGAGAGTTTTGGTCAAGCTCATACTATTGATAGTAAGAGAGGCTACCAAGCAAGGAAGCTCAACCAAGAAACTCCCAGGTTCACCCAAATTAAAAGTTGCTGGGAAAGAGGGAACTTGGTGGGCTTAATCATTTTCTGTTGAGGATCAGATGTGGTAATATCCATAGTTTATGGATCTGTGCATTTATTGGTTGCCCTATCGCCAATCACAGCTTCAGTCTTAAGATCAGTTGGTATTTTATTCTCTCCAGTGGTGATGAAAGGAAGAATCTAGGCTACAGTTGTTAGGCAACTACAGCATCCATTTTCTGAACTTTCTCCAAGGTAATTTTAGAGTAAAAGAAAAAAAATGGCATCTGGGCTATGTGATTGCCATATATAGAAGTACACCCTTCTAAAATAGGATCAGATAGCTTCAGGTGAGTTACTCAAAATCAGAAGAGTAATACAACAGTATGAGAATGATGTACAGTATGCATGATGCCATAGACCTTCGCAAGATAACCATTTTCTGGGACTGCCACTTTAGAATGCAAAGGAGGTGCTTGTCAATTTAATTTTGGGATTTTGAGCTTTTTATTTTGCATCTTATTTGGTAGAGTAACTGGCACAGCAAGGACAGTTAAGATATGTTACATATCTATTTTATGTTTGCTAATATTTCTATGCAGGGAGGTTTGATGAATAGTACTTGGTTAAAGCTATGCCCCTACATTCTTGCAGTGTGAAGAGACATAAGACACATCATTGTTCCATGATTATGCTGAGCATAAGGAAGAGATCCCTGAACTGCATACCTTTAATTTTCAAGATTAATTTTGAGATGATTAAATAATATCACCACATGGCTTGTTTAAGGAACAAGATTTGTACAAAACCAACTCCCATGTGAAAATCTATTACAGTGTGAGTGAAAATATCAAAGACTGGGGGAGAGGGATAGTTGCTTTTCCCTGTAGCATAAGGTTGGCTTACTTGCTCTTTGCTTTTTTTCACATGCGGTATACTGTAATTCTGATTGGGGGAAGTAATTGATAAAGAAGTACAAATGGTGCTATGTTTAGAATTGAGCAAGAGTTTCTAAGTTTTGAGGGGGGGAGCACTGTGACTGTACTATTGGATACAGGTAATTTTCTTAATTTGGTAAATTGAGTTATTTGGCATTTGTTCCTTTTTTATATGTCCTCTAGGAATTTAATAAGAGGACTTTCTTTTATGCCCATATAGAAAAGGCGATAAAAATAACTGAGGTGAATTTATATAAAGATACTTGCACTTGTCTCAATGATTTTCAGTGGGAACAAAGAACAATTCAGTATTGGTCATATCTATTGTGATATTATTCCTTCAAAAGCAAACAAATTGTAAGAAGAGGCAAGAAGATGTAATGTAGAATATAAATTCGTAACTTTGGTATAATGCACCGAGTCTGAACAGTATTAGTAGACATTTGAGTATTGCTATAAATGCCACTAAATATATTGTGCCATGACTTTTCTTCCATTTTTTAAAAAATACTAAGCTGTCAGTTCCCCCAACTGAAAGGATTGCAATAGTATATAAGTACCTCTTTTGCTATTCATTTCTATTAATGAGGTGGGCCTTTCGGAGTAGAATTATTTACTTTGTTTATAACCACTTTTGGATGGGCTTGGTGCTCATTTATGTTTGGCCATAACTGACCAGCATAAATTATGGTGCTGAAAATTTACTTAAACCTTGTTAAAGTGGCATCAATGAGGTTTAATTCTCACCATGCTGTCCATAAAGTTGTAAGATATATCAGAACTATGCAAGTTGAAGAGCAACTAAATGGGGCACTTAAAACTCTGCCAATTGATGGGCAAGACACATACAAACTGTCTCTTGCAAACTGTTTATATCTTCTTGTATATTCTTTTTGTTTGCAGTTTCTTCTTAAATGGTCAACACTAGGTCAACCCAGTTGCATTCATAATTATTTTGTTTTTGTTTTAAATTGCAGATCTAGCTGACCATAGTAAACTAACCTAATTCAGATCTAGTTAGGAAACCTGGAAGGGGCTACTAGGAAATATCAGGGATATAGGTAAGACTGGGAAGTCAAAAGACATCCTGGAAGACAGTGGCAAATCACTTCTGTATTATTGCCCTGCTCAGAGCCCTAAACAGGCAGATATAGGAAGCAAATAGGAAACAAGGACATCTTTTTATTGTGCATACACCCACCTACTCAATAGGAGCAACATGAAGGAGGTTTAATCTTTTTATGAGCCATAGTCTCAGTGAGAACATCTATTTCTCCAATTAACTATAGAAAAAAAGTTTTTCCTGGTAGCAGCTGGAACTGGTTTCCTTCAGGCTGTTTGTCTTTCCTTTGTAATCTAGCCTCAGTGACTCTTCCTCCATGCCCCCCTGCTAGTATTAAAATACAAACAGTATTTGGGTTATTAACACACAATTAAGAGTAATGCCTAATTTGAGTTTTTGAGTAACTCTAGTGGTGGAAGTGATAGTGAATAAGGGACAGGATTCAGTATTTTACCATGGCTTTCCTTATGCTGCTAAAATCAGATGATGTTCCCTCCCTCTTTCATATTTGGGCCACTCCATGCTTAAGTGGAGGGGACTGCAGCATACAATTGAGAATATTCCTGTTCCCCCTCCTCTAAATATTTCCTCCCTAAACAAAATGGGAAAGTGAGAAATAAGGTTTTGTTGGGAGTAAAAAACTTTTAACATCCAATCATTAGTGTGTATTTAGCCCAGATTTTTGTGGCATCTGCAACGTTACACATATACTGGTTTCAAATTCTACATTGTGTTTCAGTGCTACTTACTGAACAAATGAGAAAAGATGGGGACTTATTTGATGGAAATTGTGGTTGCTTTGTGGGCGGTAAAGATGGGCAGTGCTTTTAATTCTGGTTTAGAAAAATCAGAATGGATAAATCAATATTGGAATGGAATGTTCAGCATTTTCAGGCCCAATTTTCAGGGAAAAGTAAAATATGGGGTTATCATGCAAATTTTAATCTATTTAAGAAGTGATTTATAGTTATTACCTACTATAACTGCAAGGCATTGTAAGTACTAAACAGAGAGCTGATATTCCATCAGAGTTGCCTAACAATATTATAGTTTTTAGAAAAACATGCTGAAACAATAATCATTTCTGTCCTTCAGCTCTAAAAGCTATAGTACTGTATTGTTTTTTTCTTTGATAGATAGAATGATAAGATATAAATGGATAAACTAAGATAAAGTGAGGAAAAGAAAAAAAATCAAAGCTAAAAGTGCAAGAAAGGAAAAAACTAAAAGTATGAAAAAAGATTCAAAGAAATAGCTTCCAATCTTATTTACCACAGTTATAACTATATTATAAATTTACCTCTTATTCTACATAACTCTTCTTTCTATATCTATCCTGTCTAATCAAAACCATAAATCATAAGTTCATTTTTTTCTATTTCATGCAAAAAGTCTGTAAGGGATTTTCAGTCAACAAGAAACATAGATAGTAACTTTTCTCTGATCAAAGTCAATTTAGCATTTTCTTCACATTATCTTGATTCTCTATCAACTTTAAATGGAATATAAACAGCCAAGTTCATTTAGTTTGTTCTTACATTTGGGTAGTTTTGTTTTTATATGTGGCTTTTATTATTACATAAAACTCTATCCTTTAGACTTTTCTTTCACTTGGGGGGGTCTCTAATGGAGAAAAGGCTATTTTTAGCAAGTCTAAATAGTGGTTAGTTTTACAAGGCTGCAATTAAGTACTCATTTGGACAGAAATCCCATTGAAATAAGTGGGACTTCTGAGGTTACAAATACAGTATGTTGTTAATGTATGTAGCTGTATTTGCATTCTATTAAACCTGTTTTTACCCCCTCCCTCAGCAAAGCAGGGTTTTTCAGCTCACACTGTCATTTATCCATTTACTTGCCCTGGTTGCTGAATAGCCCCCCTCCCCCTTTGGGGGGAACACAATGCCAAGCTGATTTGGCCTCTTTCCCATCTGTTTTCCTGACTTAGATATTTGGCTGGTGTGCTCACTTTCCCATTCTTTAGAGAGCTACATAAGAGGTAGATAAAAACCTGACTTGTGGTTGCTTGGCAACCAGAATGTTCCTTTTCCTCGACTGACCTGAGTGGCTGAGCAGCAGCACTGAGAGTCCCTTCCATCAGACCACATGCTTGGAAGGACCATTCAGGTCTTTGTCAGCAGTGTGGCGTAACAAAGCAAACAGGGCTTGACTCTTACTCAGTGGTAGCACAACCTACCTGTTGCTGCTGCTCACAAACTTGGCTGCTGCCCATAGCAGAGTGCAATGTCGGAGTGGAATTTTGCCTTCCTGTTCCTGCTTTTAGAAGCCACACAGCATCAACCTTAAAGACGAGAAGGCTTTGGGATATGAAAATGACTGTGTGGTCAAGTACCAGTTAGTGATGCCAATCCTCGCCTGTGCTTTCAGTCAGGGTGCAGCGAAACAAAGCCAGTCTGTGTAACAATCTGCTTCCCCTCCCTCCTTCCAGGGACACTCCGTCATCCCAAAAATTCACATTGATTTCTTCCACTAATGTACAACAAAGCTTGCTTGTGCCAAGTTACCAGCTCTTCTGCCCACCCACCCCTCTTCATGGCCCAACTGAGCAGGCTGAGACAGGCTGATCCTGCCTCTCCAATCCTCTGCTCTGTAATCTTCAATTGCACTACTGTTTGCTTGGCTCTAACAGCGGCAGGGAGTTCTTGGCTTACGGTGGTGCTATTTTCTGGTATGAAATACCATCCCAGAGCTGGCTGTGTCCCTCCGCGGGCCCCCATCGGAGTGCAAAAAATAACTTGTGCCACGGTAGTGCCACCCATCTTTCCATTTTCTCTCGGGGGGGGGGGAGGAATGAGGTAAATGGCAATCTACTATTCTCTGGCACTCTTTCCGATCACTCCTCGGGCCACCTTGACAAAGCTGGCCAGAGAGGTTTTGGATGCCCCGGAGTACAGTGCCCACTTTCGTGGCACGAATATTTCTTGTCTCCCCACCACCACCACCCAATCCCCCGTGCCCGAGCAGAGGAGGCCGTGTTTCGATGTATCTCTCCTTAGTTCCCCCTCCTTTCCAACCCGGGTTGCCCCCTCCCCTAGAGGCAGGGCTGCCCAGGCCGAGCCGGAGTGCACAATGGAGCCGGGTGATCCCTCGCCGCGCAAGGCTCAGAAATGCAAATCGCCGCCGCTGCCTGCTGCTCCGTACAATGGAAGGGAGGGAGGAAGGGAGCGAGAGAGAGGGAGGGAGGAAGGAAGAGCGAGCGAGCGAGCGAGCGAGAGACGGCGAGGAGGAGAGGAGAGGGGGGAGCCCCATTGGCGGGGAGGCTGCTCGCCCCGGCCCATCCCCGACGACGCGGCGGGTCCCCGGAGCGCCCCCTCCTCCGCGCCGCCTCGCCGTGCGCCTTGGTGAGTAGCTGTGCTGCGCCGTATCGTCCGCCCGCCCACCGTGCGCCCCCCTCCCCAGAAAACCCGGCCGGACGGCCGCTCGTCTCTTCTCCCCCCACCCTTCGCCCGGCACCCAGAGCAGGTGCATGGCAGGAGGGGAAGCGCGGCCCGGGCTTCACTTTTCCTCTCGCGGGGGCGGGAGGCAGCCCGGCCGCGGGACTGCACCGGGCCACGCTCTGGGCGCGCATCGCTTTGGCGCACAGAAATCACCTGGCCTCGGGCTTCCTTATCCCCGAATGACCCGGACGATTTCCTCCATCTCTTTTTTTTCTATATCCCTTTCCCGCCCCCCCCCGCGCCGCGTCTCGCCCCCCCATCCACGTGACTATGACTAAAATTGCAGTGGGGGGGTGATCCCTTCTGCGGAAATCAGAATAAGGAAATAGGGGGAGGCGGAGGACATTTGGGGTGAAAGCACTCAGGAGAGGGATGGAAGGGGTTGCGAGAGCAGGTGGTTTGCAGCCACGGGGAGGGGGGTGGGATGGACGGAGGGGGGCGGAAAGTAGCGCAGGACGGCCGATCTTTAGAGGGGAGACCTCTCCCCCTTCGGCTCTGGTCTCCACCACCACCACCCAACACACACACTTTGGAGGTGGTGGTTTCTGTTCCCCAGTCCCAGAGTTTTTGAGCCCTTTCAGGGGCACGGCAAGGAAAGGGTGAGGGGTGGGAAGGTTGGTGGTCTAATGACCCAGTGCTAAGTTGAGCCTCAAAGATTGAAAACTATGTTGGGTGGGGTCGAAGGGGGGGGAGATCAGTAGCTCTTAGTCACTGGGAACAGCTCCCTTTGGCTCATCCTCCCATTCCCCCCCTGCCGCCGCCTCCCCCCCAATGTTCACTGGAGCATTTGCTGAGGCAGCTGCTCCCTTTGTTTAGGGTGTGTGGGGTGGGAAGGGGGTGGGAAGATCTGTGTCTTGCTGGGACAGTCACTCTCTTGTCTCTCTCACAGGCCAAGGCATGGCTGTGATGTGGGGAGACTGGCTGCTCCCATTCATATATCCTCCCCCTACTCCTTCATAGCTTGGAAGTTGGCAGGAGTTGGCTTGAGGCCTGGCAGTGGGGTCCCTTGAAAATTGCCACTTTTTTTTTTCTTAAGAGTGTCTTTTTCTAAGAAGTAGCCATCTTGTTTATTTGGGGGGGGGATGAATTGGCACTTTCTATCCTCAGCACCCCTTAGTACAGTTACATTGCATTAAGAAAATTAAACCCCTCCCTGTGTTTTGTATAAACAAAACAGGACAGTCTGCCTTTGCTCTGAGTGGGCCCAAAGGACCTTGTGTGTGTATGTGTGTCTGTGTGTTTAACACATTCGTCATTAGGATACTACTGTCATAGGCCCAGCATGGCATGATGCCAAAATGAATCAGCTATCTTTTCTCCAGGCCTATGAATACCACCAGCATTACTGCTTGATTTGAGCAATACCCTCGTGCAGCAAACTATGCCACCATTTTAGGCAGCCAGATATTCCTTAATAAGGGTGGCAGTATAACATCTGATGTATAAATGCCTAAATCAGGGCTTAGCTTCAGAGCATAATCCTGGAATTTTTCAACAAATAAAATAAAAATGAGTTGAAGGACAAGTAGGCATCTTCTCCTTTTTCTGCTAACAAAAACTAGCTGTTCCCACTCTGTGATTTTGGGACAGATCTCCCAAAATTGACTGTTTTCCAGTCAGGTTTGAGCCCTGCCCCCAATTTTATTAAAAACTAAGCTTTAGATAGAAGCCCCCTCTTTCTGAGACAATAACTTTTCCTTTTGTTAGATAAGTTGTAAGTTTTCAAATTGCACTTATTTCAAGATTGTAAACTTTTAAATGGCACAGAGCCGTTCTTCAGACAGTAATGAAAAGGAAATTATGCAGTGCCCCTACTGCCTATAAAATGCTTCTGAGCATCCTGGAAGCCTGATGCGTTGTTTAGCCTGTTTCTTCAGGGGCTTGTTTGTACAAGTTTGTGATGTCATCGTAAGATCACTATATTGAAAGAATAAGCTTTGTCTCTACAAGTAAAAAAATATGAGTAAGTTTCTGCCACACTCTTATTTACTGTCCTGTTCATTAAAAGGTGCTCCATATGAATGAGGACTCTGAACTCTACAAGTGGTCACAGATCTGCCTGAGTTTACAGCCTCTATTCCTCTATTATAATCTACTTGGTTAGGCTATAATGCACATCTTACCAATCTGCAATGGTCATGCAGCCTAGGATAATAGAAGCTGTAATAGTTTAATATTTTGAAGGGCATCAACTCTAAAGAAGGCTTACTCTAAAGCAGTGGTTCTCAACCTTTTTAATGCCGCGACCCCAACCGGTCGTAAGTCGAGGACTAAACCGGTCGTAAGTCGAGGACTAAACCGGTCGTAAGTTGAGGACTACCCAACTGGTCGTAAGTCGGGGACTTTCCCTGCCTGGGAGCGCCGCGCATGCGTGGTTCCGCCCCCTGCGCCGGCCGAGGCGTAGCTGGCAAGCGGCAGAGACGGAGCAGGCCGACCACCAGCTGGCCCAGCCCAAGCGAGGTAAGGCACCCGCCGGAAAAGGGGGGAAAAATGGCGGACAAAAAAAATGGCGGACAGCCTTGCTTGGCGACCCCCATGAAATGGTCAATCGACCCCAAATGGGGTCCCGACCCACAGGTTGAGAACCACTGCTCTAAAGAATATGCTATTAAATTACCCAGAGCTGCTGGGATTTGGATAGCACCCAGACAATGTCAAAAACCCCTCCCCCAATTTTTTCTTTCATTGTCAAATATTTTTGTGTTCTTTCAATCTATCCAGAGTTTATTGAAAACTCAAGTCTTGCCTTCCTAGAATTGGGACAAATTCATAGATATGCATACAGATATCTATAATAATAGATACAGTATAAATGTAAATAATTTTAAATGACAACTTCTTCCTTAGGAGAACTGTGGGTCTGAGGAGGGCTAGATTCCTCTAAAATTTTAAGATTCTTGCTAAATACAACTCCCATGATTTTCCTGGGGAAAAAGAGAAGTCCTGATGGTTATATTGCTATGAAAGAGGTGCAAATCTGGAGTGTGGAGTATGTTTAACAAGGGCCTCACAATACTATTTATATTTCCTGTAAAACTGTCCTTTGAAATATGCAAAATTGTGCTGATTGTACACGTTTCAAAGTGCATTGTAAGTATGCAATGCACATCGGGGTAAAGCTTATGCCCAGAGGAATATGTATATCATTTTAAATTATAATTCTGACGGCACAGATACGGTTTGTACATAATAAAAACAGCAAGAAATGAGATCTAGGAGGAAGATTTGTTTTTGTAGTAAGTGATAGGCCGAATTCATAGAATATAGTCAAACTGTAACGTGGTTTGGTTTTAGTTTACTGTGTGCTGCAACCCATCCCTTCTGATTTCAAAACCAGGGTTTATGATGGTGTGTTTAATCATAATTTATTCAATAAACCACAATCAAGTGAACCTGATTTAATGCAGTTTATGAGTCAAGTCATCATAAATAATCAACTTTCTATAACTCTAAAAGGAGTGGTTAATAGTTGTGACATTTCTCTTTAGAATTGTGAATTATTTTGTTAAAATGCATATGTTGCTCAAACAATACCTGAAATGTATACCACTTCAATTGAGGGTTTGGGATTGGCATGACGGTTCTTCTGCTGAAAAATACATGCTCTTCCCAGATGTAAGGCTGAAGCGATTAGATTAAGTCTAGCCTCTCTGATCCCATGGCTCTGTAAGCACAGGAAGTTGAAAAACAAATTGAAACATGAGGCACTCAGCCATGCACATAAAAAGTCAGTTCTGTGGAAGGTATTGTCTTACTATAGTGAATATAACCTCTAGATAGATAATTTCTCATAATTTTTCTCAGTTCTTCTGTGAGGTCTGTTGCTATCTGGGGGCAGGGCAAGTATGTCATATGATAACAGCATGAGTTCACAGCTCTGATTCATTCATGCTCAACCCTGCTATGAATGTAAGTTTAGATTTCTGCCCTCCAACTGTTTCTCCTCTTGCCAAATCCTCTGAAT